CGTTACGTTTTTACGTTTATTAGTGTATGTGTAGTTGTATAGTAGTACTAGTACGTCGTTGTATAGAATTAGTAGTAAAGTAAGTTAGTACCTAACGGGACGTACGTTACTACACATCCTACTCTCTCTCTCTCTTCTCTCTCTCTCTCTCTCTCTCTCTCTCTCTCTCTCTCTCGCATGCATGCACAGACATATGTATATATAATCGCGAGAGACAGAGACAAACAGACCGTTTCAAATGGTGTTCAGCACCTTTTATAGATTTTGGTTGTTACCACGAATGAGCCTAATCCAACACCAGTAATGTTTTATTCACAATAAAGAAAGCCATGTTTACTTTTAGTGTATAACCATTTTGTACTTATATACAACTTAGAACAGGATTCATACAGCTGACCCTAAATAGTTCAGATAAGGATCGGATGATAATGATGATGATGATAATACAACTCGGACAACTTTTAGGTCTGGATTCTTTTAAAAGATTTTGATACCTAACAAAAAAGAATAATATTTTTATAAATTTTATCATATTCATTACATATCCAGAAAGATTCACATAACTAAAAATTTAGGTCTTACGGATTCTTTTAAAAGATTATACATTTTCTCATATTCATTACATATCTAGTAAGCTTCACATAACTAAAAATCCACAATAGAACTTGATGAACTCCGTAGATGGTACACGTACTTTGAAATTCAGTGAACTCCATCTATGCAATTGTACCTTATGAGGCTGCCATTCTGTGAGACAGATTATATGGTAACCTCAAGTCTTCAAGCCATTTATCCCCCATAATTGGCACCACAGTGTGGGCTGAAAACAGCAGGCATATAATATTTGAAGAGGCTTTTCTAGTAATGCACCAATTATAAGATTATTGTTAAGTTTCATTTGTATTTTAAGCAATTTTAAACTTATAGAATACAAGTTAGATGCATAGAAAATGCTGCTGCTTGTGTGCGCTTTCGTCAATTATCCCTGAGAAATCCCTTTCTCATCTAATAAAATGTACACTCATCCCTTCATGTTAATACTTGATCTCTACACCTATCATCTTGAAGCTTCAGGACCTTTCCTTACCACCCATGGACTCATCAGCCTAATGATCACCGAGTAGGTAGATCAAAGATGACATGGGAAACATGATCATAACCAACTCATCCATTAATCAGCATCAGCATCCCAAATATTCAGTGACAATATGTCATTGCGAAAGAAATCCAGACAGCATTATCGCATGGTCATTTCGTTTTTTGGATGTTAGGCAATGCACAGCATAAATACAAAGACAAGTTTAAATCATACTTTCATCATCATCATCATCATCAGAGCCTTTTTCCAACTAACTAGGGTCAGCTACACGAATCTTGGTCCGCCATTCTGCTCTATTATACCCTCAGTGATGCCTTAAGTACCCAAATCTTTTCTTACTACTTCCAACCATGTCTTTTTGGGCCTACCCCTTGTCATTTTTTAGCCTTCCACTTGAACTAACTTGCACCTTCTAACAGGTGTTGTATTGCGTATGCACTGCACATGGCCAGCCCACCTAAGTTTACTTTCTCTCATCTTATGGCCTATTGGTGTCACACCTAAATTCTCCCGAATGTATTCATTTCGAATTCTATCTGTTCTTTTCTTGCCCCTCATCCATCTCAACATCCAAATTTTAATCAGCATCAGCTTCCCAAAAACCCAGTGACAATCTGTCATTGAGAAAGAAATCTAGACAGCATTATCACATGGTCATTTCTTTTTTTGGATGCTAAGCAATGAAAATCATAATTTCAAAGACAAATTTAAATCATATTTTCATCATCATCATTATCAGAGCCTTTTCCCAACTAATTGTGGTCCGCTACACAAATCTCGGTCCGTCATTCTGCTCTATTATACCCTCAATGAGGCCATAAGTCCCCATATCTTTTCTTACAACTTCCAACCATGTATGTTTGGGCCAGCCCTTGCCATTTTTAACCACTTGAACTAACTTGCACCTTCTTATAAGTGTTGTAGTGAGTTTGCACTGCACATGGCCAGCCCACCTGAGTCTACTTTATGTCATCTTATCCCCTATTGGTGTCACACCTAAATTCTCCTGAATATACACATTTAGAATTCTATACGTTCTTATCTTACCACTCGTCCATTTCAACATCCTCATCTCAGTTACACTCATTCTATGGGTATGTTGTTTCTTGACCACCTAGCATTCTGCCCCATAAAGAAAAACTGGTCTCACAATTGTCCTATATAGAAGTTGCCCTTCAGCTTTATTAGTATGCGGTGATCACATAAAACTCCAGTTGCACATCTCCCTTCGCCCACCCAGCTCTAATTATGTGTGATATCTTCCTCAATCTCTCCATTTTCCTAGATTATCGACTCAAGAATATAAAAAGTCCGCTCTTTTTTTGGTGTTTTTTGGCCGTCAACTACTTCATTGTTTAAATATTGAAACAAACTCCAAGAAAGTGCAATAGGGAAGAAGCTTGTATTGAGATCACTGAAAGAAAAAACGAACTCAGGTTGGGGCTCAGGAGGGTGCGAAGTCCAAGTCTATTCCAAAAATATAATGGGAAACCAGCCAAAGTCGGTTGATTGCCACGTGCAATGTGCTGAACTTGGGACACTACCAAGTCCAAGAATCAGGGGTGAGTCCAATTAGACTAGGCTCAGTTTTCTTTCACTAATTGACATTGAGGTAGTTTAATGTATGCTTGATATGTACATTATGGTCAAAGTTGCCCAGTTAGATTGAAAACTTTAGAGCCAGTCTAAGTCATACAAAAAATGTCACTTCACAACTTGCTACCAATTCTACAGTTAATTAGAATTTGTATTTTTTTTCCTTTTTAAGACAAACTACATCTTAACTTAAAATTAATTCTGCAAACAATATCCATGGAATTGCAAACTTTAGAGGGAATGCTTCTTGCAAGAAAACAGATGCATGTTAGCGCAATGGCTTTCGCGCTAGCCATTGCTTCTTGAAAGAAAACGGCTGCACGTTAGCACAACAACTTTTGTAATCTTAGTCATATGGAAAATGTAACTTCCCAACTTGCTAACAATTCTGTAGTTAAGTAGATTTTGTATCTTTTTTCCTTTTAGCGGAAACTACATCGTTACTTAAAATTGATTTCTGCAAACAATGTCTATGGAATATATTCAACTTAGTTATCTCCTTTGCTTCGCTCTCATCAACAACTGCGAAAGAATATTTATGATAGCTACAAACTACCAAATCTGCATCATCATCATTATCAAACCTTTTCCCACCTAAGTGGGGTCGGCTATACGAATCCTACTCCGCCATTTTGCTTTACCCTCAATGAGGCCATAAATCCCCATATCTATTTTCACTACTTCCAACCATGTCCTTTTGGGTATACCCCTTGCCCTTTTTGAGCCTTCAATGTGAACTAACTCGCACCTACTGACAGGTATTGTACAGGATCTGCGCCACACATGGTCAACCCACCTAAGTCTAATTTCTCTCATCTTATCGCCTATTGGTGTCAAACCTAAATTCTCTCCTGAATGTATTCATTTCAATGTTTCAAAATACACTAGGCAATGCCTAAGCGGCCGAGGGGTCCAAGCCGCCCAACGCCTAGGCAGGCACCGGACCTGGGTGGCAGTGGCCCAATAGAAAAAAATGTCTTTATAGTCTAACAGTATAAATATAATTGTATAATACATGAGAATTAGGGATTTAGGGCATATCAAATGTATAGTACACAAGTCCCCATAGCACGCACTCCTCCATACTCTATAACCATAAGTCCATATCCAATTATCCATAGTCTGATAGTCCACACTCCACAGTCCACACAAAGTTACCACGAACTAGTGAACCACAAATCCACAGTACACAACCTCTAATAGATTTATAAAACATCCAAAATTAAATCTAATATCAATGGGTGATGCTTAGATCAATTTCTCGTAACTTTGAGAAACCTTTTGATCCTATGGAAATCATTAAAAACTAGTTTTTTTGGGGCTTTTCTCTCCCTAAAATAGGCTCTAATGGGTTTTATGTTTCAAATGAACCTAAAACCCACAATTTTGCCCCTTCAGTATTTAAAAAATGACCAAAAAATGCAACGAGGGGCATTTCTACTCCTAAGGACCCAGGCAGGTTGTCAAGCACCTCGGGATATCCTGCCTAATTTAACCGCCTAGACCTGGGCGATGTACCCAAGCTTTTTGGACCGCCTCGACATTGTGTGAACCACTTCTTTTTAAATCACTTATTCATTTCGAGTTTTATCCCTTCTATCTTGCCACTCATCCATCTCAATATCATCTCAGCTACACTTATCCTATGACTGTGTTGTTTCTTGACCAGTCAAATCTGAATATGCACCTCAATAATGAAGCATTATTTTCTTATTTATTATCACTTTTAATAAAACAATGATATTGACTTCAGAAGATGATTAACAACCCTTATTGAAGGTAACAACTAAGAAAAAAGAAAAAACAATAACTTAAACAAACCAATGAAATATAAAGTACCTTAAAATTCACTTGTAGCAGAATATTTAAATGCCAAATCAATTGACTACAACAATGCGATGTCCTCAGTAACTTTCCAAATTACTACCCAACACAAACCCTATTTTGCAGTGATGTGAAACTCAGCTATGTTCGGGTAAAGCAAAGAAAACTGTGTAAGACCTTCTATTTCTAAAGAGAAGAAGCCCATTAAAATAATAAAATAAAATAAAATCCAAAAATAAAAACAAACAAACCAAATGAAGAGAAACAGTCTAACCTTATAGCAAACTACTCCTTATAGCAAACTACTCCACCTAGACGCCTCCATCTGTTTCCAAGCGAACATGGTAGGGCGATATACCAAGTGTCCTTTGAACCATTGAGGTGGAAATGACTTTAACTGATCATTCACAGAATTATAAGTTACACAATTGTCCTCATTCTCCATAACGAACATCTCATCGAACCAGACAACCGGATGAAGTCTGAAATCACGGAGCCCCAATTCCTTCAGATCCAAAGTCATCACCTCAACCCACTGATTGTCTTCATACAAAACCCAAATCCCTGCCTCCAAAACTTCATTTGTCACCATTGCATAAGAAAGTCGACCATTCCACTCCTGTATTTTATCGCATGAAAACCCATTTGCCCCCATAATCCCGAAGCCAATTGGGGTCCAAATCTTTTCCCATTTCTTTCTCTTCGTGTCGATGGATACTAAAAGTTGTTGATCATTCGACAAGGCATACCAGGTTGTGCCAATACAAACAAATGAACTCAAAGGAAGTAGACTAATTCCCCTCTGAGCATTTAGCAAGCTCCAACTCCCCACCGATGAATCGAATATCCAAATGTCATAGGGGTAGGAATGCACTAAGATCTTGAAGTTTCGGGAATTGGGGTCGAAGGAAAACCCAAAACTCATTATCGAAGTCTCCAGTTTTGGAATAGGGCAGAAATTTTGCTGTGCAAGAGGATTCCCAATGGACAATTTAACAGAAGATCCCAATCCGATCAGGCAACATACCATGCCATTACTGCAAGCGAAACCTTTAATGTCATCTTCACACTGAAATTGTGTCTCGTTACAGGATAAAGCATTGCTAGGATCGAAATTGCTCCGAAAAAACATCTTCTTGATACCATAATCGCAATCTTTGAGGAAGAGAGTAAAAGGTCGAGGCGATGAGAGGGAGGAAGGGAGGAAGGATTGAGAAGAAAGGAGGCCTTCCCATGATTTGCAAACTGCTCTGAATCGGCAGAGAGTCTTCACTGGAAGTAGTATGAAGACCTTCATCAACAGTTCCTTTGGTAGCGAACCAGAGAGAGAAGCCATGCGCCTCTCTGTTTCGATCTGTAGGATGCAGGAGGGAGAAGCCATGTTTCTCTCTCCGGGCTGCTACTATGAAGAAATGGGGGAGCAGAGGGTTCGACTTTAAAAGAGGAAGAAGCCATTTCTCAAATTGGAACGCCTTTCAGAAGCACGTCCACGTGAAAGGGATCTACGAAGGGTTCAGACGGCAAACTTTCCGAAAAAAAAAAATTTGTTGTGTTGGCAAGTTTAGGGCTAGTAGGGCTAGGTTGGTTTGGCCACCATGAAAAATTAGGTCTTGGGCTAATAACAAATGGGGCCTAGAGCCTTGGGCTGGTCCAGGGATAGGCTCCATCGCCTAAGGTTTAGCCTAGACCGGCCAGAGTTAGCATAGGGCTGGAGCTTTTTTTTTTTATAAAGTGTACTAGCAAAATGCCCGTGCTCTACACGTGATTTTTAGACAAATGTTACATATAAAAAACTAGAACTAAAAAAATAATAGAAGTCTATAAAAATTCAAATATTATGTCTCGCAAAATGAGTTACGAAGAAAACCCTCAAAAAGAATGCGAAAATTCTTTTTGGATGATTGTTTGTGGGGAACAAGTTCAGTGCATAAGGGTACTATTGACCTCTAATTTTAAGTGTACAGATTTCTTTTCCTTTATAGATGTTGTCCATTGTATCAAGACCCAAAAATAATGCATATTAGAATGCAAAGTTATATCCATAAATATTTGATTACAATGTCTATTGTTTTAAGGGCAAGCTTTCTATATTTCAAATAATCTATTGTTTTATGGGCAAGCTTTTTATGTCTTCCCAACAGCATAAAACTTATATATTTCCTCTTATCCAAAATGGAGGGCTAAGATTGCTCCAATCACAATGTCACATCTCTATACTATTTTATTTTTAATTTTTTTTCTATAAACTATTTTGACACCAAATTTTGGATGTCGAATCATCTATTAAACTCGTACTAACAAAAAATATAAAAAAAATATTTTCAATAAAATAAAATGACCAAAATACTCTTGAAAGATTAAAGGGGTATTTTGATCATTATATTTTATCGAAAAATTATTTCTAACATTTTTTATAGGTGCACCCCAATAAGAGGATGGCACGTACCAAATTTCATATTCATACAATTTGTATAAAAAAAACTAAAAAAAATACTTTTAGACGTCGGATATAAGATCAAAAGGTGAGTGGCTCTCTTGATCAGAATTGGGCAGCTAGATGGTAGAGGAAGTATAATTCTTCTATACTGTAAGGAAAGCATAGAAACCTTTCCCTTGTCTTAATTCTATGTTCTAACTTTCCCTTTCAATCATACTTGATACGATTTTGTTAAGATCGTTCATGTATTTGAACCAATGGTTTAAAAAATGGATCGGTGACCC